GGGGTTAGCTCGTCGGCTGGGCCAGGAGACTAGAGAGAAAAACCAACAGCCTCGGTTAGGTCCGTTGGTTGGTTACTGAGATCGTGGAGAAGGTTGTGATGTTTCTGAATTACAGTCTGTTGGAGTGCTCTATGAATGACCTCTGCTGGGTTTGGCCAGAGTGTTCTGTCATGATTGGTTTAAGTGATCTGATCCACATGCAGAGAACCACTCAGAGACCAAAGGAAAAAGTTTAAAAGGTTTATTAAATGTATATGCATAACAGAAGTTAGATCTGGAACTCAGTGGACTGGTGAATTGGAAAAGGAAAGTCTGAAAGGGAGATCACAGTGATCAGTTCAGGGACTGTAGGAAATTTGACTGAGGCTTGAATATTACTGGAGAGGAACTCACGTTTGAGGGGGCTTTTGTCAATCCTTGAATCCAGCTTGTGGGGGTTAATCCATAGAAGAGGGAACTCGTTGGAGGGTGGACAGATAGGCAAGCGTTGAACTCAGAGGAGTATAGGAGGGGACCGTCACTTGGATTTCCAAAGAGGACTTGAACAGATCATGTGGAGGTTTTCCCCTGCTCAGTGTGTACTAAGTTAATCTTTCCAGGAGGAGAAGGTCCAGGTATCCAGTTACTTAGGAAGGTTTTTGCTGAAGAGCAAAGACCAAAACTTGATACAGTAAGTGTCATGATTTTACTAAGGTTCAGACCCAAATGCAGAAGACCAAACAGGGAGACCAGGGAAAAGGTTTATTCAGAGTGAAGTGTTGCTCTGAACACTACTCAACCGGAACTGAAAAGTGAGGGGAAGACACAGCGGTTAGTTCAGGCTCAGTGGGAACTTTGACTCGTGAACTTGGAGAAGAGGATTTGGTTGCTGACTCACATTTCCAGAGAAGTTGTTGAATCCTTGACTCCAGTCTGTATGCTGTAGTTCCAGTGTTTGTCCGATTCGGTGGAGGGCAGAAAAGGGTTTACTCAGAATGCGGTTGTTAATAGGTGAACAGAGAAAACTGACTAAAGGTACTTTAAGTTGTCTGGGACATTTTTTCTGTCCTAATCACTATATAGGGCACTATATAGTTTGTGCAGACACAGTGCGAGGAGGCAGAGTTACGTGACAAACAGTGAGTGAAAAGTAGTTATCATCTGTTCGAATGAGTGTTAACTGAGTTTACTAAAAAGTCAACTATATAGTCCTGCTCTATATAGTGATTGAGAAATATGCGAGTTAGGGTGGTGTTGGGATCTGGAGCTGTACCACCTTCCTCCAGCAGAGTGCGCCGTGGGTCCTCCTGAGCTGAGCCTCCAACACACCTGTGGCCCATCTCATCATCAGAGGATCAACCACTATATAACCTGCCTTCAGACCTTGCCTCAACGCCGCAGTGTTGATCTAGTTTGGTTAGCAACCTGAGCCTAGTAAACCTGAGAATCTTTGCTATCTCTTGTAGAGATAAGATTCTAACTCTTCCTTGTTTTTGCCTCACAGGAATCCTGTCTCTCCTTGAAGCTCTGGATGAGCTTAACCTGCCGAGCCTGCCCTCGTGAGCCAAACCTGAAGACTCTTCTCTGGATTCCCCTGCAGCTCTTGGTTAAGAGCACTTCAAGTACTAGATTTTTTTAACCTTTAACATGTTCATTTCAAGACATAGTAAGTTGTTGATATATTAATCAATATATTTCCTATAAAATTACCCATAGTTTTCCTTTTTTGCACACATTTGAAGAGAAAGATCAACAGTTTGCTTATATTTTCAGCTTTTCTTTCCAAAGTTCACCTCCAAAAATCACAGAAACATTGATAGCAATTACATATCAACAGAAACTAAATATAACTTTCTAATAGAAATTATCTAGACCAGATCATATTTCTTGCGCACATTATTTGTATTTTCTTTTTTAGAAAGTTTTGTCATCTTTTATCTTGTAGTATTTTCTTATGAATTTAGTCCCATGCATTACTGAATTACTCAAAACGCATCCAAATTATACAAACGTGCAGAAATTCGACTCTTTTAGCAACTAGGTTTCCTGCATACCTTTCTTATCATACGTCCGGTCTTGGATGCATAGAGAGTCCAGTTCTCCATGGGATTTTTATGTTTATTGCCATAGTAATCTATGCTTTACCATAACTAAAATCTAATAATCTGCTGTTTAATTCACCCAATAATCTGTTTATACTGAAACAAAATAGGGCAAATATTTTATACCCCAGACAGACATTTAGACATTGAACAAACGACATACGACAGACAGACAGACAGACAGACAGACAAACAGACAGAAAATGATCATAAAGACAGACACATGCCGGCTTCTTACATGGTTTTGTTTATAATAATATAGACCTGCTTCTGTACTTAAACAGATACAGAACGCCATGGCATTTTTAAGCTTCCAGCGTTTGTGTGTGTCAGCTCACACAGATCAACAGGCTCATAGGACAAGGGAGAGGAAGAAACGGGAGGGGGCTTTTTGCTAAAGCCTGTTTGCCTCAGTGAGGAAGAGAGAAAAAAAAAAGTATGTTTTGAAGCTTTTAAATGTCGCCTTACAAATTTTTAAACTTCTCTTATATCCACAGTTTATGTAACAACTTTTGTAATAATTAACAACTTATCGACCAAATATGTTTAAACATTGGGCACAATTAAGCCTTTCTAGTTTGGATGAAGAAATGGACACCCATTGTTTCAATGCAGCTCAGATATTAGAAAATGTGACGCAGTAACAATTACAAGTGAAAGCAGACGTCGTTTGCAGATAAAAAAAAGTGATCACTTTCTTCCTTTTGTTTAGTCTTTTATGTTTTTAGACTAATTTATCCAATTATTTTCACTTTTTATGTGTTGTTTCCTTATATTTAGACTCTTGTTACCTCCTTTTATTTTGACCTTTTATGTCCTCGGGACACTTTGGAAAGGTTGTTTTAATTCTCTTATTTAATAATTTTTATAGACTAGATCTTACTTTACACTGTTTTCAGTTGGATTAAATTTCAGTGATTAAGCAGATCCGATTACAGGTTTGAATTACTAGTGTGAATTTATCATTTGAGAGCCAGACAAGAAACAACAACAACAAAACAATGCAATGTGGATCATCAGAACATCCTCGGTCCGGTGCAAACATGCAAGCTGGTACTGCCAACTCTGATGGTGTTGAAGTATAAAAGTAATTAAACTGTTCCTCAGCTATAAATAACGGGGTATGACTAGAACAAATACTAGCAAAATATATAAACCGAAAAGTTTGCCTGACTATCAACTAGCCTTGGCTAACACTCCCCAAACACCAAACTTGGAAGAAAAACAATATTTAAAACTTAAGAGACGCGACATATCATCCACATGTAAATGACAACATAAACAAAAACATAAATTTTGTTTTCGAGTAAAGAAAGATAGACTCTGTTAAATGTTGTAATTAGTTAAAGGCATACCAGTAAATAAAAGCTCACAGAACAGCTAACTTTGTTTTTTATGAAGTTATATTAAGCTTTTTCTGTTTTTTTTTGTCCCATTGAAATGCACGTAGAATTCTCAGATTTCAGCACAATTCAGCTAAAACTTCACCATATTTGACCTTTAACTACTTCAGCATACATTCAGCTAGAAACACCATCCAACTTTTAAAATGTTCATCAAAGATTCAGCTATTCAGTTTTAACTCTTAACTTTTTTTTTTTTTATATATATATAAAATTGGGATTCAAACTTTACACAAAATTTTTCAGGTTTTCAATTTTATAATGCTATTAATGGGAGATGGTAGCTTAACAACACATCACTGCTTCTTCCAAACTGTTTGATTTACAAACATGAAACCTGGCACATATCATCATCAGACCTTAAGAGACACTTTTAGACTTTATTTTCTGGTACATCAAATTTCAGGAAATGTTCTTCTTTTAGGTTGAGTGGGATTCTGCCATAATTCTGCAAAATGATTTTACCCTACAAAATCTTCAGATGATTCAATTGTTTTCTGTAGTTTGAAGTTTCTGATGACTTCCTATCACATTGTCATATGTTCTTCAGCTATTTTTTTTTCCTTTATTCAGATTCTTTAGCAAATTTTTCTTTTTTCATTCAGCAGAAAAATGCATTCACACTTCGCTGATTCTCTGAATCAGCTTTTTCTAGTTTTATTTGCCTTCGGTTTCTGGGCTCAAAACGTTTGTCCCACCCATAAGGAAAATGAAGGCAAGGATTGGCTCCAACTTAATACGTCATACGCATGTTGCATTTAAGAAACATGGAAATAAAGTATTCACCTGTTTATTTTTAATAAGTAAAACCAGTTGAACCTAAAACATATTTATATTCTTGCTTGAGAATGTTACATAGGCCATTTGGATATTAGGACAACAAAAAAATACAGAGAAGCTATGTCTTTTGTCGTCTTAAAATAAATAAAGAAATGCAACATTTTATTTAACTTTGGCTGAAAAGTTTATCATATCAAAGTATTTCACTTAAATTTACAAATGAACAGGCATTTCATTCTTTGAGCATTAAACTTTCAATAATACTAACCCTCATTTACTGGTATTAAAGTTCTAACAACAATCAGAGTTTTCAAGTTTTGAGAAAAGCTTGCGGTGAGATCTGGATCAGGTGGAATAAAAAAAAAAAAAAAAGTGGGATAGACCAGAATATCACTGATGTCACACAAAAAAGAGGAAAACAACAGGATTATTGCATTGAAAATTAAGGTTGCTGAAATGAGAACAATACATTAAAAGCTAGTTTTAAGTTGAGAAATATTGAGTCTAATGTCAAAAGAATGACTTCTGGCATCCCTGGAAAAAAAATATATATCTGTATAAATCCTTAACAGCATAAAGCATGTTAAAATGTTTACGCCCTTCGGAATTACAAACTTACAATCATAAATGTACCTACTCTACCTGCCTACTTTTATTACCCACCCAATTGGCTCCTTCCTCCCCCTAACGTCAGCAGGCTTATATAAAAGTCAGCATGAGGAACTTTGTCACCCAAGGGAAGCCCATTGAAGACAGCCAAGATGGTAAGTACCGTAGTACAAAAAGTTAGGTTGAGTTTAACGGCTTAACTTTTGACACTGACATATATCTGGGGTTAGACTTAAAAGTATTTAAACATCCTTAATTTAGTAAGTATTTAAGGCTTAATTCAAATCTATTTAGTAATATGTGTTGAAGTTTAAAGATTTTGTCCCTTTAAAATGATTGAAACTATGTATACACAAAGGATCAATAAGTGTATTTGGTTTTGATTCAGTGTTTGTGCATTATTGTTTTAGCAAATGTTTAGCAAATGAGTGTTTAAAATCAGTGCGATTCTTGTGCAAAGCCTTTTTCGGACACTTCCTTTTACGCTCATAAAAACTTACAGGATGCCTGCCTCAAAAGTTGTTGAGACAAAAGAAAGAAATTACTTATTAAGAATATTTTGTACTGGTATTTTTTTTCTCCGCTATTTAAGTTATAAACGTTAAGGTGCTTTTTACATCACAAACCTATACATGACCTGTTTTGGCTGGGTTAATATTTAACAATATTGGTATGTCTTTTTATTATTTACTTTAAAAATCTTGCTTTAGACTTAAGTATTATTCTTTTAAATAAAGACAGACAAAAATGGTCATTGGCATCAAGTGCTGCTTCTTAAAAGCTTTAATTTCCCATGCAGTTATATCATTTAAGTAATAGGAATACCTGTCAAATAATGCAACCTTTACAAGTTGTAACTTAGGACATGCCCAGGGAAGGGAGGACAGGCAATGTTCTGCAAAATCTAACTAACTAACTTCCGCACAGGGACAATTAAAGGAAAACCCACTGAATATTTTCCAGCATCTTCTCTGCAAAGTCAATGATAAACCTAATCTTACAACAAGGGGTTGTATAAAATGAGGCAATAACAGGTGTGGTACAGATATAGGGGCTGAATACTGAAGTTCATATTTAAACTATGAGCCCAGCACCTAGACAGCAAGCACACCTATGAATGGGGTTTATTGCTTTATTGACCAGATAAACGGCTTCATTGAACTTTCTTGGAAAGTCAGGGTGACCTTTTCAAGAAAAAATGCCCAGAATTGAACATATAAAAAAATATATCTATATATTTTTTTACTCATATATATATATATATATATATATATATATATATATATATATATATATATATATATATATATATATATAATTTTTTTTCCCCCAGATCTATCTACCGTATAGTATAGACTGTGGAACTTTGTTCTGCAAAGAGTCATTAAGTGGGCATTGCTTTTATGTTTTTACTGCATCTGCATGATGGCCACAGGTCTCTGAACAAATAAAGCATCTTCCTGTTTCTACTTTTTTTCACAACCGTGGGTACATAGTTTTAACAGTAGTTGATCATCAACTGCTGAGATAAGAACAGAGCTACACATCCCTTTTATCAGGGTAGGTGTACAGCATTACTAAGAAAAAGACTATTGATATATTAGTGACATAAAATTACTTATTAATATATCAGCTTAAATTAGATTTTTCTGAAGAAGAAAAAGCATTCATCAAAAGTGTTCTACTTTATAATGATAAATGATTTTCATCTGTAGTAACTATAAATTTGGTGTTTGTCCAAATAAACTAAATACACTATCAATTGCAAGAATTTCTCACCTCTTTTTTCACAGAAAGTCAAAGACATGACATTCAAGATGGGGCAGGAGTTAAAGGTCCGAGTCAGGCCCGATGACGACTCTGAAAGGTATGCAAGTACTTCTCTATAGGTTCAATAAAGCTTTATCTGCTTGGATATGTAGATTTAAGCTCAAATTTCCTCAAGAGGAAGAAGCACAGTATAATACATGTTTATGGCAATGTGCTTCTTCCCCTTTTTTACCTGTTTCTGCCATAGATTTGCAATCAACATCGGTCATGATCCTGAGAACATTGCAATGCACTTCAACCCTCGCTTCGATTATGGAGGAGCCGAGAACATTATCGTCTGCAATTCCATGTCTGGAGGGAGCTGGGGTGAAGAGCAGCGAGACAGTTTTTTCCCATTTGTGCGTGGGGAAGAATGCAAGGTATGTTTGTAGAATTATTCAAAAAAAAATCAACAAATACATAGATAAAAATAACATAAAATCTCTCAGAAATTTGTGAAATTAGACTTAAGCACACATTATCTTGTACAGAAACATATTAAAAGAGTCCATTGTATAAGATATGAAATATCAAGTTGTCAAAAGAATGACAGCTTTTTTTTCTGTAAAATCTGGAAAATATTCCATAATTTAAGTATATTATCAAGTGAGATCAAGTTTAGTTGCAACAAGTGAACACAAGATAAGTGCCACCAAGTCATTTTCTATATATTTTATTTAATTATAATGATAGGAACATATAGATCATTGTTTTTTTTAATAAAATAAATACTTAACAGGATTTTTCTGAACTGAATTCCTCTTTAGCTGCAATATGAAACAAAGTTGATATAAGTAGGCTTGTGCTTCATCAGTTACATTAGTTCAATATGTTGAATGATAACAGATGAATGAACAAGGTAAATGGGACATGAAGAGTTTTAACCAAAGAATGAATTTTTTTTAAACATAACAGAAATTTAATTTAATATTGTGCTGTAAAAAACACACCTTAACAGTGATAATTTGTGGTTCCCATTTTCTCTCATTTAAACAATTTCTCTCTCTCTCTCTCTCTCTCTCTCTCTCTCTCTCTCTCTCTCTTTTTTTTTTTTAAAAACAATCTACAGTTTTACATCAACTTTAACAATGAGCAGTTTTACATCAAACTTCCAGATGGTACCATGATGAACTTCCCCAACCGCCTGGGAGATGTGAAGTACCAGTTCTTTGAAGTCACTGGCGGTGCAAGAATTGTAGGAATTAAGATCAAGTAGAGGATAAACTCCTCAGAATATATTCTGATCTGACACCTTTCACATGATTTTCAAGCTGCAGAAATAGTGTTTTAGAGTGCTCTTCCAGCCCAGATTGCTTGTCTTCTGTAAGGCTGAGGTAACTTGAATACCGGCTGTGATGAGAGAAGAAGGCCTTAAGATGGAGCCAAAGCATATCTTATTTACCTGCTGTTGCTAGCTGAATGTCTTCAATAAAAGCTTTAAAAAATTGGACTCTTTCTCTTTAAGTGTGTAATAATATCATTGCACTTATAATAAAATAAAAAAAAGATTCCATGTTATTTGTTCTTAATTGTACACATAATTCACAGAATACCCATGATATATTCAAAATGTGAAGAGAGAGAAATTTCCTGCCTACCATAAAAAAATGGGTGAAAACTGTGCTCATTTTTTATTCCAGAAATGTAATGTCTTCTATCAAATCGCTGGTTGCTACCAACAAAAATACTGTATTATAAGGAAAACATAGTAAGGAAGCTATAAAAAAAAACTTTGAAATACAGTAGGCTTCCATTTTATTTTCAGCATTGAGCATCATTAACAAAACATTAACATTAGAAAAAGCCAGACAAAGAAGGATAAAGCACAGCAAAGTGGAAAAAGGGACTGAATTTAGCATATGTTAGATGGATCCTCTGTCAGAAACAATTTACAGTGGGGCTCAAAAGAACCCTGTAGAGAGGCCGAGGAATGTAACACAATTTAAACACATTCCCTGGTAGGGGAGATATCTTTATTTACAAGATAAAAACTATGCTTAACACAGCCTTAACCAAATGAGAGATGCAGTTTTTGAAGATTTATTAAACTCATGATTATATAAAAAAAAAAAAACGTGGGAAAAAAACAACTTACAAATAACACAAATAAAATTTTAGTATTTGTCATTTTCTTCAGAAGCAATCACAGTCTCACATTAGTCTATCAAATATCCATATCTGCTGGTCTGTCCCCTTTATAGGTGTCCTTTATCAATGTGAAACAGAAATCATCCATTAACTGCATTTAATAATGGGTATAGTTAAATTAATATTTATAGTCTAGTTTAATTGTAAAACTCTACTTTAATATCATAAGTAGGCTGAGGGGAAGTATTTTCAACTGAGGTATTAGAGGAATATGTCATAAGTCTACAAGTTCAAAATTAAAGGTTAAATGTTTAAGATCTCAAGTAGTTGATCTGGGAACAAGAGGAGCAGTTTGCAGAATAAACAAAATAAAAACAATTAAGATATTTAGCATGTACCCTTTTGAACAGAGCTACCTTATAAGCCACCTCCATTTGGGCAACGGATCGATGGCTTTTCTGTACCATTTCCATTCTCTGTCTTTCATTTAGGAATGCCTCGTTATTCTTAGACATCTTTGATTCTTTACATGATCAGGTTTTGGTTATTGTGTCTACAAGGTTTCAATTGTATTTTTGATTTTACTATAACTGAAATGTCTTCTCTGTGGCTTATAATTCTAAAATGTACCCTGACTGGACAGCGATCTATTAAAGTTCTTGAAGAGGTGTCGTTACAGCTGTTCCAGGATCAGCCTTGGTTGATCCCCCCGACTGACCTTTTTGAGCTAAATAATCTTTATAATTTCGAGTCAGAAGAGTGTAAAGGAATGGATTAATACAGCTGTTTCCATACGTGAGACATGTGACAAAGAAATTGACATAATTATGAGCAGCTGCAGACAAAGCTTTGAGGGAATCTGGGGAGAAAAGTTTAGTGAGCTGCCATCCCCAAAAAGGTAAGAAACATGCCCAATATACTACTACAATGCTTAATATCATTGACAACACTTTTTGTTTGAGTCCTTTCCTCCTGGCTGAGAGGCTACTGCCCCCCAATCTAGCCTGCACTGTCCAGTAACGCTTTGCTAGTCCAGCATACAATCCAACAATTATCAATCCAGGGACTAAAACACTTGTGAAAAACAGTACTGTGAGATAGGCCTTAAAGGCCTCAGGTGTCCAGGTAGGGAAACAGATTCTTTTTACAAAGCCATACACTGTAGGCTTGCCTTCCCGGAGCTGTATCATTACCATCATGGGAAGTGTAAGGATGAAAGCCAACCCCCAAATAATAACTGCACTGAGTCTTCTACTGCGAGAAGAGGATTTGTGGGCACTGAAGGGCTTGGCCACTGCTCGGTAACGTTCTAAGCTCATTGCAACCAAAATGAAGACGCTGGAATGCATTGTTAGAAGATCCAGACTCAGCAGAATGCGGCAACCTGCCTCACCAAACAACCAGTCATGGGAAAAGTAGGTGCAGACAACAAAGGGTATGGTGGAAAGGTAAAGCAGGTCAGCCAGAGCTAAGTTAACAATGTAAACATACATAGAACCCTTGCGGCACAAAGCAGCTGAGCGCGTAACGATGAGTGTGTAAATGTTGCCTGCCAATCCTACGGCACACATGACTAAAAGTGTGGCACCAAGCAAGGAGGTCACCCACAAACCTCCACTGGTAACAGCCCCACTGCCACCAGCTATGGAAGTTTCATTTGCAGTCCTTGGGATCAGATCAAGTCCCAGCTCGGTGGTGATGGTGGCATTGGGAGTGCAGTTCATTGCAGGTTTATGTATAAAGAGATGAAGTGGACAGGGTCTCTGTCTGACTTTATGAGGAAATCTTCTAAATAATCCAAGTTAAAATCATACATTTCTTGACAGTTTATGGTGTTTGGGACCAGTAAAACCTAATCAAAGAGAAAACAAAGAAACTACAATAAGTGTTAGGGACAAAATGGTAATGTGGAGAGCAAAATTAAATGCAATACTTACATATCTAAAGTCCCAAAACTGCTTGTTTCTTCTAGTATGAGATGCCCAATTCTTTAATGCCCTCAATCGTGTGATCTCAAGGAGACCTCAAGAATACATGTTTTCACTGACAGACAGCATAACTTGCTCCCAATGGGGCAAGATTAAAGTGGAATGACACAATGTATAAGCAGTAGGAAACCACAGCCCATAAAATGTTCAAACTGTACTTCACGTCTTTGACAGTGAACTCCCACAGTCCTAACAGGTTCTTGAGATGACTCCAGTTGGTAATATCACAGAAACAGAAAATTGGAGAAATGGAGAAAAAGAAAATCCATGTATTTATTTAACTAGTTGAAACTTCAGTCAAATCCAGTCATTCAAAATGTCTTGGAGACAAATTAGATTATATGAGCAGTTGTTCCACACCCATTCCGAGTCTAGCTTATTACTCTTGTCATGGTCTTCTTTTTCAAAATTGCCATTTGAGTTATCAATGTAAAAAATCCTTTATTTCCATATAATCCATGATGATTTCTTGCTGGTCTTGTTAATCCAAGTGGTTTCCTGTAGTAGCTGATCAACCAGCTATTTCTCCTTGGTTCTGAAAATCAAGCCTTGACAAACCACTACTGCCTTTGAAGTTTTCTTGGTTGTAGTGTTCTATCTCCTTTCCCATCTTTCCTCCCTCTTTCTCACTGAAGTGTAAATCTGACATGGGCCTAATGATTTACGTGGTATTCCTCTCAGGCCTCAACCTAATGTCTCTAAACACCAAGGTGTGGTTTTAGACACCACATACTGCTGGCAGAGTCAACACTAAGCGACTACTGTATACAGCCAGTCAGGGTTTAATATACTTCCATCAAAGTTTTAACAGTTATTTCGAGCTTTTGATTATGAGTTAAAACAACGTTCTGGGGGAAACGTTGTATTTAAGCAAATAAGAACTTCATGAATATTTTAAACACAAGTTTAAAGTCAGTGTTAATTTCTCTCTAATCCACATAGGTTGATATATATATATATATATATATATACACTACCGTTCAAAAGTTTGGGGTCACCCAAACAATTTTGTGGTTTCCTGAAAAGTCACACTTATTCACTTATTTTTTACATCAAACTTTGCTTTCGTCAAAGAGTCCTCCATTTGCAGCAATTGCAGACCTGTACCATTCTAGCCGTGAATTTGTTGAGGTAATCTGGAGAAATTGCACCCC